AACCCTCGGCGGGAGCGCCGTCATGCTCTCAAGCGGCACACTGTAGCAGTGCGCCACCGGGCGGCCCTTGTACTCATATTTTTAAAAGCAATGTCGTACCTGGTTTAAGTGTTCAGGTTCTGCAGTGCTTTCTGCAGTATGTTTCAGTTATATGTTTTTTAAGGGTTTTTCTAAAGTCGTAACACACACATGACAGTGTTTCTATACTGTGGTGTACGTACACTGCTGGTGACTAGTCCAGGCTCCCTTTACAAGGGCAAATATACCCATCCCCCAGCATCTATGGGTGTTAGCCTCTAACTACAGCTGCTTCCTTCTCTGGAGAATTGCACTTTGAAGAAGATCTTCAGTGCCTGGGAGATTTCTGTATAACACCCACAGCCCCCACACAACCCTGCAACCTGCAGCCCATGACTGACTGCTGATGAGTGTGCAAGGGTACCTTGCCTCACGGTTGACCAATTCTGTGGTGCAAATCCTACTCCAGAGCTCCTCCTGGGATCAGGCTAAAGCTGGTTTCCAGCTGGCTTGGTTCCCCCCACCTCTTTCCCTATGTGCTTCTGTCACTCCCCTGCACCTAAGAACACTCCCTTGATAAATCACTTGCCCAAGAATATATACCCCTCAGGCTCTGCTTCTATAGAACCCTGTCTAATACTAAGGCTTATCTCATGTTTGTCAGAGAACAATGTAAATGTAAGGTCGCTGAGGAAGGAGATGCTAGCCAGGTTAAGGAAGAAATTAAGATTTTATTAGCATGCGGCAAGCGAACCTGCTGGGCTGAGCTGAAAAATGGCGTCATCCCCAAGAGGCAGTTGGCTGTCTTCTTTTACAAGGTTAAGATTGGCATCTGGCCTAGCCTAGGAAGATGGTCACAATGTTTCACTCCGGATACAGCCTGTTCATGGGAACAAACTTAGGGAGACAGAAACCTTGGGCTAGCTGGGGGAAGCAGTTACAATGTTACACTTTAGGTACAGCCTGCTCAGCCTGCTCATGGGAATAGAGACTTAGGGAGATAAAAACAGAGGAATGAAACTTAGAGAAACAAAACCGAAGGGTGGGGGCTTTCTAAAAGTCAGGTTCTCAGTTCCAGGGACCTAACAGTAAAGAAGGCCCTTTGTTGGCCCTCTGTTATAAACAGAGCAGTCATATCCATCTCTGGGGAAGTCAGGAATGAGTCAAGATATAACTGGACAGGGCCCCTCAAATCAAAATTGGACATATATCCTAACTCAAATTAAAAGAAGGCTTAGCCGATTCCTATTGTCTCCTGTCTTGCTGACACCGACACACCACATTCTATCAAATTAGAAATGAAGTTCATGCTTCATTGTAATTCTTTCTCACTATAGAATATGAAAAATCCTTATATTTATTAGGAGTTATGTGGCATTTGTTAAAAATTTTGCTAGATTGTAATTATTTTGTGATAGATTTTCTTGCAATAATAGCATGAATGTTAAATTTATTCATCATCTGTTGGTTGCTATCGAAGATGGCTCAAGAATGAGCCCAAGGTTGGGTAAGTGATAATGCTCTGGGAAAACAACAATAACAACAACAAAACCAGATTACCAGTTTTCAAATAATAAAAATAAATTCTAATTTAATAATTCTGCTATTGTTCAGATGACATATTGGGTTATCACTATAAACCTCAATTGTAATATTGTTAAAGTGTACAGGTGATGGTTAAGAGTAATTTTCAGATTGACAAAATGTTCAGGTTGAAAATAACCAGATTTTTGGGCCGGCCCGGTGGCGCACTGGATAGTGCG